TATATTTTTTATCACTTTGAATCTAAAACAACGTACATATACAGGAATAACAAAGAAAAATAGATACAAAAAAATTAGTGGGCTTACGGTTTTCACACAAGCTCTGCAGAATATTTTGTTGTTTTCTAATTTTAATTCTCGAAAATCCCTTATTCACTCATCCGGCGTCGACTTTACTTTCGGCATTCTTTTAAAATATCAGTAATATTACCAAAAAGAACTCAACATGTAACAAGGGAGAACCACGTATAACACTGTACTACGACAGATGCGATGACTGATGGTTGTGAAATAAACGGTTCATTTACTTAAAAGTTTCCATTAGAAAAATTTTAAGGTAGGTAATTGGGTACAATAATCCTTTTTTCTAGAAAATCTTCAACGGTCTTGCCGCAAAATGCCGAAAAAGAACATCTGGTTAAAAGCTTTAATTCATTATCAACGGAAGTAAGGATCTAAAGTCATAAATTCTATGGAGTAATTTTCCAATCCTATAATAAAATTTTATTACCCAAACGACCGGAACCTATTCACAGAAAGGGTCTTCAGTAAGTGTACTTCAATGGTCAAGTCCAGGTAAAATGCATACGATACGATACGGCTAACTAACAAGTATTTTTCATCCCGACAAGGCCGGCATTTGTACAAAATATGCATTAAAACTCATATTCGTCGAAAAAAGCATTAAATAAGCATATAAGTTTTAACATGCACAAAATTGAAAAAAAAGCAATTAAGCATAAAAAAATGGGTCAAATGACTCCAAATTGTATCATAGTTACAGATATAAAAAAGTTTTGAAGCGCTTACATTTTTCACAAAAAGCATTAAACCTAGAAATCCGCTCTCTACATATAAATGTTGTTATATTTAACACTATATGTAAATGTTAATTTATAAAGCACAATATAAGATCCCATTTCTTGAATGATTTGTTGTTTTCATGTTTTAAGTTTTTATGTCCATCCTTATTTAATGAACTTAATTTCGTCCTATTAAGGCACAATAGTCGCTCCCAAATTATTTTTTGTTATGTTATACCACAAACGTTCCATCACTTGAACAGTCCTCACATTACTTGCCTTAAAGATTCATTAATTCCATCGCAGGTTACAACATTGGTATATTTAGTTGTTTATTAGTATTACGTTCCATTATAGACTTGTAGTCTGCTGAAAATAAAATTATTATTATTATTATTAAAAAAGGTGACGTTGCGTAAAAGTTTTACGTGTCAGGGCAATAAAATTTTAGGTTTCTTGTTTTATTAGTTTATTAATTTAATTAGCTAATTTCTAAAATATCGGTGTACATTTTTTCATAAATACACAAATGCTTTAACGAAATGGAGAAAATATTAATGAGTTGGACCCAGGTGACTCCAAAGTATGTGTAAGCCACAATGCATCTGTTTATTAACCCACATCATCGAAATAACACGCACATTTATTTACATTCGAGAGTTTGATGTGACAATGTCCGGACACACAATAATAGCGATATCAGAAAATGCAGAAGAAAAACCGAATCCAAAAATCATAACACCACCACAAAATGTCGAACCAAAACCAAAATCAAAATTTCTTCATTGTCATGGGTACATTTCTGAGCACGTTTCAGAATTTATGAGCAATAGCAGCATCCATGGGTTGAGATATCTAGTCGGAAATAAAACCACCGTCTTAGAAAAGTAAGTGTTTTTCAGAAATTTCCGAAAAATAAATTTTCGTTGTAGTAGTGTTTATTATTTGCCTTACAGGCTTAATAATATTCCCAGTAGGGGTACAAATTAACTTAATCTACATCAAATAAATCAATAAAAATAAATAAAATAAAATAAATATTCGGGTTTTATATAATAAATGTTCTATTGTTTCTGCTTGCCCACACCTTGCCATAGTTCCCTTATCTTAAATACTTCTGTCATCCACTCCAGTCCTCTTGCATCTCCGTTTACGAGTTCATCCTTTACTATTTTTCTATACTCCGCATTATATCTAGACTCCGATATTCTCAATCTGCATTCTTGCTTATTTATATCCTTATCTCTTACACTCAGTTCTTCTTTCATACTCCTTCCCATTTCTCTCATTCTCTCTAGTTCTTCACATGCATATCCCTTTCCTTCATAATACTTGTCTCTTTCGTTCCAAACATGTTTTCCCCTTTTCTTTCTTATTTCTTTCCAACATTCTTGCAATATTTTGCAGTCACCTCTTTCACTGAACTTCTCTTCAAATCCAACCGCCCTTTCACCCGCTTTCACTCTCATTTTCTCCCTTTTTGTTTCTTCTCTCACTATATATCCCGGCGTATACTTTTCCAATCCCAATGCCCATTTCAAGTATTTTTCTTGCACTCTCTCTATTTCTTCATATTCCCTCCATCCCCAAATCTCAACTCCGTACATGAATACACTTTTGACCAAACTATCAAACATCATTATTCTTCTCTTATAATCATGTCCAAATTTCCTCTCTCCTATTCCCCATACTATTCCTACCACTTTGTTCGCTTTTTGGACCATTTCTTGAATATGCGCTCTATCTGAATTATTGCTCTTTAATGTATATCCTAAGTACTGGAATTCTTTCACCTGTTCAATTTTCTTCCCTCTCCATGCCCACTCTTCCTTCTCCTTTCTTACTTTCTTCCCAAACACCACCATTTTTGTTTTTTCCACATTCACTTCCAATTCCTTTTTTTTTACATACTTCTCCAGACTTTTAATCATTGCTTTCATTTCTTCTCTTTTCTTTGCCACAATCACCAAATCATCTGCGTACGCCAACGACCACACTTTCTCTTTGCCTATTCCCACCCCTCCTGTCTGTGCTTTTCTGAACATTTCATCTGTATCTCCTAGATAAGCTGCAAACAATGCGGGCCTGAGTGGGCATCCTTGTCTCACTCCTCTATTTGTATAAAAACTCTCCCTTTCTATTCCATTCACTCTCACCGTATTTACTGTTTCTTCATATATTTCTTCCATTTTCGTTACCAAGTATGCATCTACTCCCTTTCTCCTCAAATACTCCCACATTTTCTCTCTATTCACGCTATCAAACGCTGCTTTGAAATCTATGAACAATGCGTACATTTGTCCACCCTCTTTCCTTATTTCTCATCCCACTAAATGCCGCAGGATGTACACACTGTCCATAGTACCTCTTCCTTTCCTAAACCCTGCCCGACCGTCTGGTAACATACCCCTTGCTTCCATCTCCTTTCGTAACCTCTTATCGAGTATCATTGCATATATCTTGTACGCCATATTGAGCAAGGTAATCCCTCGGTAGTTCTTCACATCACTTTTTTGTCCCTTTTTAAATAATGGGATTATTATACCTTCTCTCCACTGCCGAGGAAACCCTTTTCCCTTCCAAACTCCATTTACCACTTCCCATATCTTTTCTTTCACTTCTTCTGTCCCGAACATCCACGCTTCGTTCTAGATTCCATCCCCTCCTGGTGCCTTTCCTCTTTTCAGTCTTCCAATCTGTCTTTCTATTTCATCTATTGTTATTTCCGAACCTCTCCACATTTCTTCCGTCGTTGTGATTCCTTTATTTATTTTGCAGCATTTTTCCTCACAACCTCCCAATAATTCCATAAAGTGTGTTTTCCATTCATGTATTTTGATTTTCCGGCTAATTTCAGTCTTCCTTCTCCGTTCCTTGTTTATATATCTCCATACTTGCTCTTCTGTTTTCAGGGACTTTATTGTCTTTTCTTCTTCTTCTCGTTTTTCTCTTTATCTTTCTTCCCATTTTCTCCTATAATTCTCTCTTGCTTTTAGGTACTCTTCTTTCCTTCCCTTGTTATTCTTCCATTTTTTTAATTTTTCCCTTGCTTTTCTCTTCAACTCACTACATTCTCCGTTCCATCCATTATCCTCCCTTGCCATATGTATATCTTTCTTTTTTCCGTAGCTTCTACAATTAGGTTGCTCAGTTCCACCATCATAGCTTCTATATCTTCTTTTACTTCGAATTTCTTTTTTTCTAGTCTACTTCTGTATCTTTGAATTCCCTCTTCATGCCATATTCTTTTTTCTAATTCTTTTCTTTTGAGTCTTCTCTCTTGTTTTTCGTACTCTTGCTCTTTTCCTTTGATTTTTATTTCTAGAGGCATGTGATCTGATTCTATCCTTTCCCCCACTTTGAAACTCTCTATTTCTTCCCACGCCTCTTCGTTGATAATCCCATAATCTATAGTTGATTCTCCCATCGCCCCTACGTACGTCCATTCTTCTGCTTCATCTCCTTCCTTGTTTCCTTTCAAAATTTCCCATCCCATTTCTTCTAATATCTGCCACAATATTTTCCCTTCTTTGTTATTTGCTTTATCTTTTGATCCTCTTTTTTCTCCCTTTTCTTTATCTATTATTATTGTCCCCTTATCGCCCAATCTTGCGTTAAAATCCCCTCCTATAAGTATTTTTTCATCTCCTTTTTCTTTTGTTTCCTTTTCTATGTTTATCTAGGTTTCCTCCATTTTCTTGCTATAAACGGTTATTATTTCCCATCGATTGTTATCCAGCTGTATTACTTTCTTCATTAGTTCATTTTTATTATTACGTCCCTTTTCCAATTCTTGCATTTCTTTGCGAATTCCCATTATTATTCCCCTGTTTGCTCTCCCCTTTTTCTTTTCCTTCCGGTGGTAGTGTCTCTTCCAATTTCTCCCAGTTTTCTCTTTGTACCCAAATCTCTACTAGCCCCACAATATCAAATTTTCCCACGTAGTCCCAGAACTCCTTTTCCTTTTTTCGCAACCCTTAGACATTCCAAAACAGTACCTTCACCACTTTTTCTCCTAATTTTGTACCATCTTCCCTTTTTCCGATTTCGCTATCTGCATCCTTTATTCCTTTTCCTTTTTCTTTGCCTTGTTCCCTTCCATTTTTCCTCATTTTCTTCCTTAGCTCTCTTCTACTCTTCATACTAAATTTTCGTTGTAGAATTGTGTGGTTTGTGCTTTTGCTCGTTTCGATCTACATGTGCTCATTGTGGATTATATCGGCCTGGCAGGCGTGGGAGGAAAATCCGGCTTTCATAGGTGTGGGTCAAGCTCCTGTGCGTGCGTGGGAAATACCATTTCCAGCTGTTACCGTTTGTCCTATCTATCGTTACAACCAATACTCAGAATATAGATTTCCTAACATAGAAGGGTGACGATGTCAAAATTACCAAACAACATGTCATCTATGTATAGTTTTTTTCTTGTAGGGAGAGTACTACGAATGAATCAGTTGTTTTGGAACCTTCAGACAAGTGCGATTACTTTAAGAACAATGACAAATACGGTGACACAGATTTTTTTGAAGGAGAACCGTGGGAAAAATTTTTGACAGAGGTAAGAGTTTCGCTGTAGTGAGTTAAACCACACTTGTCTGTGATTTTGTAGACAGCACTTTCACCCAACCAAGTAATTTTAAAGTCCTTTCTGACCGACGGGAACGATACGACAGATATTAGTTTTTCGTCCATACAGACACAATGGGGGGTTTGCCATACCTTTAATAGTCTGGACAAAGCAGACCTTTTCAGAGACCTTACGTGAGTTCGTACCCCACTTATGATTTTTCACTGCAACTAAATTTGTAGACACACCCCTGAAAGTTTTTGGAAACAAAGAACCATTTCTTATTGGACTTTTGATAAAAATTACTATAAAAAAAATGAAGCTGTGTACCCTCAACGCTTGAAAAATATGATAGACAACGTAGTTGTGCATTTAGAGTCCACACTGGGTTATGTAGCATGTTTTACTCCTAATGAATATTACATTTCCTTGCACCATCCAGGAGAAAGTCCGACTCTGGGTCACACTATCACAATCAAACCAGAAAAAGACTACAACATTTGGATCAAACCTGAAATCACTATTGCTTCCGAACGACTCAAACCATATTCCCCGTCCAGAAAAAAATGCTTCTTTTCAGACGAGCGCTATTTACAATTTTACAAAATTTACACAGAAGACAATTGTAAATTAGAATGTCTGGCTAACTACACTCTAACAGTCTGTGGCTGTGTCCCTGCATATTTTCCGCGTAAGTACTTAGCATCAATATTATATTTCAATTAATAAAACACATTATTGTAGACAACAAAACTACCAAACTATGTGGAAGAAACCGTTCTGGATGCCTGCAAAAATCAGAAAGTACGTTTTCGAATTTTTCGAAACCAAAATTATTTCGGTTTTTTTAGGAGTTATGGCTCATTTAGAGTCTGGATTGACCCAAGATCCCGTCTGCAATTGTCTGCCGTCTTGCAACTCAGTAATTTACACTTGGGAAGTCGATAGTAAGGAGTCTGAATATCAGCATAGAATCGTTGTTACGTTGCAATACAAAAACGTCAAATTTAACGTTCTGGAAAGGAACGAGTTATTCGGAGATGTGAATTTTTGGTCTAGCTGTGGAGGCATTCTGGGATTGTTTGCCGGGTTTTCAGTGCTGTCTCTGGCAGAAATTTTTTATTATTTGGTTTTTCGGTGGATGAACAATTTGTTCGGAAATTTATGGGAGAAATTGCATCGTTTGTACTTATCTTTCTAAGTGTATGTAAAGTTAATAACTGTTTCTATCAAATTCAACTCTAGCAAAAAAAATATAAGAAGAATATTTTAAGTCGATGTGCATGTTTTGAAAATACAGTGTCCAATTTCCTCTATTTAAAATGTAGATTTTAAATAAATAAATATAGACATTTTCACCTGTGTTTGACCATGCTTGCATGTTTCGTCGGTGTTCACAATTATTTTCATGTTATTTACGGAGTTGTTTTTATGTTTTTGTATTTCAACTGGGTTAAATTAATCAATACTTGCTAAAATTGGCATTTCTCGCCATAAAAAACGTGAATTAAGAGTTAGTTCTATTTATACATTGACGTGAAATGTCCGACAAAGTAGACTCCGTGCTAATAAAAGAAGCTGATGAAAAATCAGCGAAAACAAACAGCACCAATTACAAGACTGTTATTTCAGGAAATATTTCCGAATTTGCTAGCACCAGTTCCATCCATGGAATCAAATATTTTGCAGGAGAAGATCGAAGTTTATTCGAAAGGTATGTTTTATTTAATCTACTCCGTTTATACAAACTCATGCTTGCAGAGGCTTCTGACTTATAGTTCTATGCTTTTCTACATACACGTGTATGATACTAATTTTAGTTATTGTTTAGAGTGGCAGGGAAGCTTAAAGTAAATGCAATACGGCACCTGAGAACTTGTTTGATCTACTGACCAAAGGGCATTCAGGCGAATGTCGACTCTAAGCGTTCGGGAACGATTTGATCTATAAGCCATGTTCCATGAACTCTCCTAACCGGTTTGGACTACAATTTCTAAGGAAAGATTTACTTGGTCGGACTTCACAATCACAACGAATAAGTGAACATTTTGTTAGACACATGTGTTAATTATTGACATGCAACTATTTTTTGTGTAATTAAGAAATAATTGTGTTTGGTACTAGTAAAATTCTGCAAATTAACAACACTGTTGGAATCGTTTTCATGTAATAGACTCTTTTTCACAAAATGTAGTTATTTTTATCTTTTGGAAACGTTAGGATCTATTTTGCATGAATTTTTGTTTATTTTTGAATTTAAATTTTTAGCAGTTTTTCTTCTCTTCAATTTTACGATTTTTAAACAAGTTGTTTCGAATTTTCAATTTTTGACTTTTATAAACTCTTAATTTTTCAATTTTTCAGTTAATCGGTGGTTTCGAATTTTCGAATTTCCTTTTTTGATTTTTTGATTTTTTAATTTTTCAATTTTTTAATTTTTCAGTTTTTGGATACTTCAGTTTTGGGATTTTTCAGGTTTTCTTCCATTTTTCAATTTTTCGAAATTTCAGTTTTGGGATTTTTCGGTTTATTTATTATCCAATTTTTCGATTTTACAATTTCTCAAATTTTCAATTTCACGATTTTCAATTTTTCGATTTCTCAATTTTCCGATATTTCAACTTTACGCGTTTCTTTTTCTCCTCTTCAATTTTCACGTTTTTAAATATTTGGTTTTAGCAATTTTTCAAATTTGACTTTTATAAACCCTCAGTTTTTCGATTTTTCATTTCTTCAATTCTTCAATTTTTCAATTTTTTACTTTTTGATTTCTCAAATTTTCAATATTTAATTTCTCAGTTTTTGGACATTTCGCTTTTGAGATTTTTCAGGTTTTTGATCTTTCAATTTTCTATTTTCTAAGGTTTCGAATTTTTGAATTCACTTTTTTGATTTTTCGATTTTTCAATTTTTCAATTTTTTATTTTCTCAGTTTTTGAATACTTCAGTTTTGGGATTTTTCAGGTTTTCTTCCATTTTTCAATTTTTCGAGATTTCAGTCTTGGGATTTTTCAGTTTATTTATTATTCAATTTTTCGATTTTACAATTTTTTAATTTTTCAATTTCACGATTTTCAATTTTTCGATTTCTCAATTTTCCGATGTTTCAATTCTACGCTTTTCTTTTTCTCCTCTTCAATTTTACGATTACTAAATATTTGGTTTTTACAATTTGTGAAATTTGACTTTTATGAACTTTCAGTTTTTCGAATTTTCATTTCTTCGATTCTACAACTTTTGAATTTTTACTTTCTGATTTCTCAATTTTTCAAAGTTTAACTTCTCAGGTTTTGGATATTTCAGTTTTGAAATTTTTCCGTTATTATGTTCTTCAGTTTTTCTTTCATTTTTAGATTTTTCGAAATTTCAGTTTTGGGTTTTTTTGAGATTATTTACGATCCAATTTTTCAATTTGACGATTTCTCAGTTTTTCACTTTCTCGATTTTCAGTTTTGCTTTTCAATTTTACTTTTTTTAAATGCTTAGATTTTTCAATTTTTGACTTATCTAAATTCTCAATTTTTCGAGTTTTCAGGTTTTTGATTTTTCTATTTTTCTTTTTTTAAGGTTTCGATTTCTCAGTTTTTGAATACTTCAGTTTTGGGATATTTTAGTTTTTCTTTAATTTTCCACAATTTTTCGAAATTTCAGTTTTGGGATTTCTCAATTAATTTATTATTCAATTTTTCGATTTTACAATTGCTCAATTTTTCAATTTCACGACTTTCAATTTTTCGATTTTCTTAATTTTCCTATGTTTCAATTTTATGTTTTTCCTTTTTTTCCTTTTCAGTTTTACCGATCTTTAAATTTTGGGATTTTGCAATTTTTCAAATTTGGCTTTTATAAACTCTCAGTTTTTAGATTTTTCATTTCTCCAATTCTTCAATTTTTCAATGTTTAGGTTTTTAATTTTTTAATTTTTCAATTTTTTAATGTTTTGAGTTTTCGACTTTTTGACTTCTCAATTTTTCAATTTTTAATTTCTCAGTTTTCGGATATTACAGTTTTGAGATTTTTCTGATTTTCCATTCTTCAATTTTTCTTTCATTTTTTCTTTTATTATTCAATTTTTCGAAATTTCAGTTTTGGGATTTTTCAGTTTGTTTATTTTTCAATTTTTTTATTTTACAATTTCTCAATTTTTCAATTTCCCTATTTTCAATTTATTTTTTCAATTTTTTCTAATTTATCTAAATTTTCAATTTTTCGATTTTTCAATTCATCGATGTTCTGTTGTTCCCATTTCTTGACTTTTAACTGTCTCGGTTTTCCACTTCTACAATTCTTCAAGTTTTTCATTTTTCAGGTTTTTGAGTTTTCAATTTTTCTATTTTTCAAGGGTTTCGATTTTTCGACTTCAATTTTTTGATTTTTCGATTTCTCAATTTTTCAGTTTTTTAATATCTGAGTTTTTGGATACTTCAGTTTTTCTTTTATTTTTCAATTCTTCGAAATTTCAGTTTTAGGATTTTACAATTTCCCCAATTTTCCGATGTTTCAATTTTACTCTTTTCCTTTTCCCCTCTTCAATTTTACGATTTTTAAATATTTAGTTTTTGGAATTTTTCAAATTTGACTCTGAGTTTTTCAATTTTTCATGTATTCAATTCTTCGATTTTTCAAATTTTAGGTTTTTTATTTTTCAATTTTTAAGGTTTTGAGTTTTCTACTTAACTTTTTTAACTTTTTGATTTCTCCATTTTTCAATTGTTAATTTCTCATTTTTGGATATTTTAGTTTTGAGATTTTTCAGTTTCTCCATTCTTCAGTTTTTCTTTCATTTTTCGATTTTTCGAAATTTCAGTTTAGGGATTTTTTTATTTATTTGGTATTCAGTTTTTCGATTTTACAATCTCTCAATTTTTCAATTTCTCGATTTTCAATTCTTCAATTTTTGACTTATCTAAATTTTTAATTTTTCGATTTCTCAATTAATGGACGTTTTGTTTTTTCCATTTCTAGATTTTCGACTGTTTCAATTTTCTACTTTTTCAATTCTTCAATTTTTCGATTTTAGAGGTTTTTGATGTTTTCAATTTTTCTATTTTTTAAGGTTTCGATTTTTCGAATTCACTTGTTTGATTTTTCAATTCCTCAATTTTTCAATTTTCTAATTTCCCAGTTTTGGAATTTTTCAGTTTTCCTTTCATTTTGCAATTTTTCGAAATCTCAGTTTGGGGATTTTTCAGTTTATTTATTATTCAATGTTATATTTTACAATTTCTCAATTTTTCAATTTCTCGATTTTCAATTTTTCTTTTTTTGACTTATCTAAATTCTCACTTTTTCGATTTTTCAATTTGTTTTGTTTTTCCCACTTCTTGACTTTCGACTGTTTCGATTTTCGAGTTCTTCAATCCTTCAGTTTTTGGATTTGTCAAGTTTTCGATTTTTCAATTTTTTATTTTTTAAGGTTTCGATTTTTCGACTTCACGTTTTTGTTTTTCGATTTCTCAATTTTTCAATTATTTAATGCCTCAGTTTTTGGATACTTCAGTTTTGGGATTTTTCAATTTTTCTTTCATTTTTCAAATTTTCGAAATTTCAGTTTTAGGAATTTTCAATTTGTTTATTGTTCAATTTTTCGATTTTACCAATTCTCAATTTCGTTCAATTTTTCAGATTTGATTTTTATAAACTCGATTTTCGTTTTTTCATTTCCTCAATTCTTCAATTTTTCGATTTTTCAGGCTTTTGATTTTTCAATTATTCGATTTTTTAAAAGATTTTTCTCCTTCACTTTTTTTTGACTGCTCAGTTTTTCTCTTTAATTTTACGATTTTTAAATATTTAGATTTTTCAATTTTTCAATTTTTGACTTATCTAAATTCTCAATTTTTCGATTTTTCCATTAATCCATATTTTGTTTTTCCCACTTCTTGACTTGCGACTGTTTCAATTTTCCAGTTCTTTAATTCTTCAATTTTTCGATTTGCCAAGTTTTTGATTTTTCAATTTTTAATTTTTTTTTATTGGTTTTGAGTTTTCGACTTCATTTTTTTGACTTTCCAATTTCTCAATTTTTCAATTTTTAATTTCTCACTTTTTGGATATTGCAGTTTTGAGATTCTTCAGTTCTTCCATACTTCAGTTTTTCTTTCATTTTTCAATTTTTCGAAATTTCAGCTTTCAGATATTTCAGATTATTTATTATTCAATTTTTCGATTTTACAATTTCCCAATTTTCCAATTTCTCGA